CCCCCCCCCAACCCCCTTCCCACCCAACCCCTCCCCCCCACAAATCCCACACACAAATCACACACCCCCGCCACACACCCACCACCCCAACCATACCCCCCCACACACGATATACAAGAGTAAGACTTTATTTTGAGCTATTATGCAATCGCCTCTATATATACTTTGCAAGCACACATGCATCAGGACAAAAATCTTTTTTGAAATAAACTATAGTATAGTAGGTGTTTGATTTTTAGTGTATAATTTTTTTTTCTGGTTCCAAGATGGCATATCCCCCTCCCAAAAGGAGTACTTGCAGTGGCAAAGGTCAAAGGTAAGGGACAGGACATCCAGTCCCAAGATGGCGATCGGGGGGTGGGGTACCTTGAAGGTACTGAGGGCACTTTGCAGCCCTCAGTAGCTCACCAAAAGTCATTAAGTGGACCTCCACATGAAATAATTGCCCACCCCTACAGTCAATCCATGGTGGCTCAAAGGGCAACAGGTGCAAGTTGGGCAGTGTATACACCCCCAGTATTGCAGCAGGTGCCCTGCAAAGTATCTCATGAAGCCAACCATTTTGGATTCTGCTCTGGCTGTCAGTTTGCAGATCTGGTTCATGTACTTGGCTGAGAGGAATAACAGGCTGTCAATCATTCCTTGTCCCCTGGTCCATTTTGTCTTATACATTGTGGCTCTTGCAACCTTCTTCCACCTAAGTCCCAGAAGAAGACACATGGCCTTCCACCCTCTGTTCTGAGGAAGGAAAGACCAGTGCGGTGTACAGGACCACCAGCAGCAACACTGCCCTCACGAGCTCTACACCATCCTGCCATTGACAGGCGGCTTGTGTTTCATAGTCCCAGTCTCTGTTTGACCTTGGCCTCAGTCTTCTGCCACACTTTTTGATAGGTAGGTACCCTGCTTTGTCCAGGGCTAGGCAGGTGTTCTTGCCCACATTGAGCATGGCCCTTGCCACCTCTTTGTACATCTGGGAATGTTTCATAGTTTGTAGGGTCGGAAGGGACCTGAGCAGATGTTTGCTCCACAGGAAACTGGCACTGGGCCTGGAGGTACTGCAATACCAGGCCAGCACCACAAGGGCCACAGCCAGCCCAGCCCTGGCATGCTCCTCTTGGTGCCAAAAATAGTACATTTGATCTTAGCCAAAAAGGCCAAAGTGCTGTTGGAAACATACCTCAAGAATAGGTTAGTATAGCCTGTCGGAATAAGATATGTAGTACTGCCCATTAAGCACAGTCTCCTCACTGCCAACTCTTTTTAAAGTCATAGTGAGCCACTACACTGAATACATTTTGACTTCCTCTTCACTCCAACAGCTGAGCTGCACCTTTCTTTCCCATTTCCAATGACTCCTGTTTCTTCAGTCTTAAATGCCTGGCAAACATCATAAACAGGGTCCCAAATAGTTCACCCAGAATCCCTCTGTCACTCCCTCTCTCAGCTTGGCACAAAGGATGAGTGTGACCCCAACTTCCATAAAGAGGATCCAGCTCCTCCCTTTCCCTCTTATCCTCCCTAACCAGTCTTGCGTAGCTCAGCACTGGTCAGTATGTGTGTATTCTCCAGATACCCTTCCCCCATCGCAAAGGATCCATGTGCTTATTAGCCCCCACTTATGACTGGAACTGGGTGTTCTTGTCATGAGTCCTGGGTTGCTCAAAAAAATGATATGCAGGTGAGGTGCAGGAAATCTGGTCTGGCTTCATCTTACGGAGGTTGGGGTCACACTCATCATATGTGCCAGGCTAAGAGAGGGAGTGACAGAGGGATTCTGGGTGAACTATTTGGGACCCTGTTTATCTGGCCCTTGTGGTGCTGGCCTGGTGTTGCAGTACCTCCAGGCCCAGTGCCAGATTCCTGTGGAGGGAACATCTGCTGTTGGCTGCATTTAAACTAACTTCATAGTTGGTTTCCATTGCTGAGCACATCCTGCTCTTGGTAGCAGTTTAATGATAGACAGTGTATTTAGTGAGATTTCTTGTGTGCAATTGTAGGAAGGGCTTTTTTCCCCAGTGTCTACCAGGGGGAAAAAAAACTCCTCTTGTATTTGAGTAAATGTGGTAACACAATAACATTTGTCTCAAGTGCGTAGGGTATGATACACTTTAGGCAGACTCCTGGTTACTGCAGCTAGATTTGTGTCAAATCATAATGGTTTTCAATTTCTATCCCATACCAAATGCTATCACTTTGCTACTATCATATTTGAACAGCATGTGCTGCTTCCTGTCAGCCTCTTCAGTTGTTCTCTTGCTTTTAATCTACAGAAAGTGCAAAAAAATAAGGTTCACTCTAGCAAGATGCAAACCACAGAAGAATGGCTAAGGATTCATGGTTTAGAATCTATGCAATTAACGTTAGAAGATCTCATAAAGAAGGGCACTTTTGTCTTGTAAGTACAATGGTATGCCTTCTTTAATCAATTGTATCTGTTTACATTATTAATGGTAAATAATGGTTCTTCTAGGAATGCTGAAAATGCCACTGAACAGATAGAGTTTACAGCAGAGACAGTTGTGAATTTTGAATCCAAACTGTCTGAGTAAGTATAATACTATGTGCTACAGTTTTAAGATTTTACAGTAATCTGCAGGTTAAATATTTGCAAGTTTAGAATTGTTCGCCTATGACAGTCCTGGAGTTGTGATAAATGAAACATAAGCAGTAGCTGTGCATGCTTCTGTCATGATACTGTTGTAGCAAAGCTCAATCCCAGCCTACCAACCCATGACATTTTAGGTGAGTTCTGTATTCAAGCATTACCCTTTTCCCTGAGAGCTATTAGGTTGCTGGAAGACACTAGAATGGTGATGATGACAGTTGTCAAGTAGGATCTGAACTGAGAAGGTTTGATTCATTTCAGATAGGCTTCTGAAAATCATTAAGATGCTTACTGGCTTTTATTTATTGTGACATAGCTTGCTTTCAAGCCAGTAATCTAATAGTCAAAGGCTATGTGGTCTCTACACATCTTAGCTGCACGGGTATGCTTTGGGGAGGAAGGAAGGAAGAAAATCCTGTATCTGATGTCTCAAGCTTGAAATATTTCTTTATAAATTGTAAATGCATATACTTTCTCATTTGTTTTGGAAGCAACAAAATCATTAAAATGATAAGACAAATCTACAAAATCAAGGAAATTTTCATCTGACAAGCAGACTTGTTGAATGTGCTCAGTAGACTGCAGTATAACATTATAGTACCCAGCTCAGTGTTCTGTGAAAGTTCCTAGATCTTTGTTAAATGAACAGCTGTTAGTGCATCAGTTACACACATCTAAATTCCTCTGTTGATATCACTGTTTTTCAGGGCAATTAGCTATTTAATCAATTAAACAATTCTAAAGAAAGATGTATTTAAATAATTAACATTGCAATCTCTAGTGCTGTAGGAGAACATTATAAATACATACCATATTTTCTCACATATAACATGCCTTGGCATATAGTACAGACCTTGTTTTTGCAAGGTGGAATGAAGGAAAAAAGACTTTTCCAAATTTATGGCTGAATAGAGCAGACACAGTGCCTAATCTTCAGATAACTCACCTTCCCTTTCCTGCTTAACTAAAGGTAAAACCCAGCTGTTTCTGAAGACTGGTTTCCATAGCTGGATCTAAGATTTTGAAAAGAGCTAAAGAATCTCCAAAGCTTAAAATAGGAGGGAGCCCAGAAATAGCTTGCAGATAAAAAAAAATTGCCCTAAGAAACAGCAACTTGATTAGTGGAAAAGCAAGTCCATTAAAAAGGAGAGATATTCATTAACCTCTGAAGTGAAGAACAATGAACAGTTAAGTGAGTTCACTCCCTCAGCTGCCTGGTAGTAATACCACAGCTGCTGCACTGTGATTCAGGGATCAAAGCATGATGCTTCTATCCCCGGGTAGAAAATCAGCTTCCTTGCTTAATACATATGTCCCCATTTTTGGGGAAAGTTACATTTTGTATGCAAGAAAATACAGTACATTTAAAAAGTGGCTGTGTACCCAACAGAGAAATTGAATTGGGATGAAAATGTTCTGAATTACAAACTGACATACCATTCAAAAGAATACAGTAGTTACATATATTCTGTGCCTCTACAGAGTAATGCAGCTTTATCACCAGCGAATTCAGTGGCTTTTGGAGGATAGCAGACGGGTAAGATTTAATTTTTCAGTACACTTTTTTAAGGGAACTCTATACCTCAAAGTAAAGAATAAATTAACCCTAGAATCTCCCTGGAGAAAACTTTCTATTTTTTCCCATATTGTAAAACATGGAAGCAATGTATTTTTTATTGCAAATACATTGCAAATTATTTTTCTTATCTTTCTGTTACCCAGTCTGCTGAGAAAGCAGCCTTGAGATGCTTGAAAACAAATTCACTCACTTTCATGCATTCATCCAAAATTAACTTTTAATATTCTCAACAGGGGTGGCAGCAGGAGTGCAGGGCCTATGCTGGTGCCCTGGGGCCAGTGGAAACCCAGGGTGGGGCAGCAGGAGCATGGAGCCTGGGTGCAGGGTCTACCTGGCTCCATCGCACAAAGCTCATATGTAGTCTGCCTTAGCTGTGCATCTCTGAGGAGAGCTGCACACATTGGAGCCAGTAGCCCAGCCCTGCTCACTGCTACATGCAGGTCATGGGGAATGTCAGGGAGCTCTGGGCTGTGGAGCAGGGCTAGTTCTGTCTGTCTCCTTGCTGCCCCAGCTGAGCACCATGACCTGCATCACCGACTTCATTACACAGGACTTGGTGGGGCCAGTCCCGCATGCTGCCACCACCTGTGGCTGGGTACTAGGGCGGGAGCATGGGCAGCTGTGCGGTGTAGGGCCAGGTGGGGCTGGCCCTGCTTGCTGCCACCACATGTAGCTCCAGGGACTGGCACACTGTATGGACTCCAAGGACCCTGCCTACACACGCACATACACACACGCGCACACACACACCCTTACCACCTATATACAAGAGTAAGACTGTATTTTGAGCTATTATGCAATTGCCTCTAGATACGCTATGCAAACGCACATAAATCAGGATCAAAATAATTTTAAATAAAATTGAAATAGGTTATAGTAGATGTTTGATCTTTTATTATAGGATTTGTTTTTTTTCCCAATATCAAGATAGCATCACCCTCCTTCCCAAAAGGAGTACTTCCGGTGGCAAAGGTCAGGGGTTAGAGTTGAGACTTCCATTCTCAAGATGGTGACCAGGGGGTGGGGCACCCATCAAGGAGTGGAGTTACCCTTGCAGGCCTCAACAGCTCACCAAAACTTATTAAACGGCCCTCCAGCCAAAATAATTGTCTGCCCCTGGTATAGCACATACAGTAAAACTTTATAGTTAATTGTCCTAAGGTATTTATGTTTACATTTTATTTTTAGGTGTTTGGCCTTATAAAAGGAACCAGAGTTGGACTCCTTGTTGACGTATCTGATATAAGTTGTGGACCCAGATTACTTGATTTCCAGAAAAACCTTTTGGTAAATACTGAAGCAGATGGGCAATACAGGTTCTGTATGACTGTAGGGGAGAAAGTAAATAATATGAAGTGTCTGTTCAACATTGACAGCTAGGGGGAAAAAAACATCACTTATTGAAGTTTGTGTTTTCTCTAAGTTGGGGTGGGCAGAGTCTGGCCTGTGGGCTGCATTGGGCCTTCAGTGGACTCCATTTCCCAGCAGCCCCTGCCAGTTTCCATGGAGACCCCAGGAGCTGTGGGCTATGACAGTGTGGGGCCAGGGTTTCCATGGAGACTGGCATAAGCTGCACTGGCAGAGCTCATAGCTGGGCAGTGACCTGCTCTAGGGCCGGGGCCAGGATTTGTGGCAGTGTCAGCGTGGTCCGGAGCTGGGGCAGAGCTGTGATCCACTGCTTGCACGCCCCTGCCCATGGCATGCAGGCAGTGGATTGCAACTCCAGCCCGTGCTGTCACTGACACAAGATCCCGGCCCCAGAGCAGCTCTCTGCCCAGCCACGTGCCCTGTCAGTACTGTTCAGGTTGGCTGCCATGGTAACCCTGGCCCAGCACTCACTGTCCTGCTGTTCCTGGGGTCTCCAGGGAAACCGGCTGCAAAGACACAGGCAGGAGCTGCTGGGAAATGAAGTCTGGCCACCAGCCGGATCTGCCATTTTTCCCGCCCCTGCTCTAAGTAGCAGAAGTAAATTTGCAGGAGGCATAAAGATTACTTTAACTGCTTTTAATGTATAACTTATTTGTCTTAATGTCTAGATTCAGAAATCTAAAGCAGTTTATCATAATTTAAAAATTTTCAGACTTGAATTCAAACATTAAACCCCTTAGCATTTATGCCTGTTATTTCTCTTGTGTGCCAGAAATAGGGAACAAGATCAGACAGCTGAGTTGTACGTATAGTTCAGTATGCCAGAATAGGATGCAGTTTTGCCCAGATGGTCTGACCCAACAAAGCATGCTTTGTCACTTTGGCCAGGGCTCTGCTAAGTTAGTTGTTCCTGAACTTCCAAAAGAAAAAGCAATATGGTTTTCAGTTCTTTATTTTTACAAAACTGTTCTAGTAAATATTGTTAAAGGGAGATGCTAAGATATAATAGTACCATTTCTCATTTTGATACTTTCTCTGTATATTCACTTTTCATACACTCAGAAAACCTTGACTATTAAAAATTGACTTGTGCCTAATCCTCTTTTGTAACTTGTGCACCATAAGTAAATGTTTCAAGATTTTGTATTTCACATTTTTTTTGTGCTCCTTGGATACCTTAAGTTATACCTCTAGCACTTAGGGCACTTTTACACATCCTTCCAGGGAGGGGTGGGGGGGGGCGCTTTAATGAGAGTAGCTTCAAGAGCTGCTCTAATTAAAGCGCTGCCGTGTCTCTCATATCAGTGTCCCTGCACTTAAAAAGACAGTAGGGGCTCTTGAACTGAAACTCGTTCAACAAGCTTTAGTTTGAGCGCCCCTGCCAGCATTTTTAAGCATGGGGACACTGATGCACAAGACACGGGAGGCTGCTGGAGTGGAGTAATTGCCACGCTCCAGCAGCTTTGATTAAGCAAGTCTACTCCAATGCGCTGTAATTACAGTGCATTGGAGCAACCTCCGCACTCGTGTATCGGCGCCCCTAGTGTTTAGGAGTCATCTCATAGTACTTCCTGATATTACAACAGCCCTGTGGATGAACATGCCCTTCTGAATATTACCTAAATTTCATTGGTTAAATGGGGAGAACATATACTGCACCATCAGAATGGGAGTGCTATTCAGACATGGTGAGCAAGGAATAGGGCATGTGGCTGACTCTCACTGTTTCCCACTAAAGGATTAAAACTGTATCACTTCTGTACTGAGTCCAGTTTTCATTTGTGATGGCTTAGAACACCGAATACTGGGCTTTTTTCAGCAAATTGCAGTGTTTTTCTGAAACTCCATTAACAGTGGCTTGGATATTAAATTATTAACTTTTTTGTTTCTTAAGTGCTTAATAGACGAGCAACTGTGTTATAAGAAGCAATTATATTTCCTTTCATTTGGGACTGAGATTTCATTTCCATGGGAGAATCCAACAAATGTCAATGTACATGTGTGAGTATATTTTATAGCTTCTAAAAACATGTTTTCAAATAGTCTTCTTTTCTGTGTCCAGAATAAATTTGCAAGAAAGAACCACAAATGAATTGACAGTGCACTGCAATGGACCAGCTAAATCTCATGAGAGGTTTTGTGTGTTTGTGACCTTCACAACCTGTTTCACTTAGAACACACCCGACTTTCCTTTTATTCTTTGCTAGCCTACACAAAGCAAGGCAGTGGGTACAGGAGCTGAAGCCCAGTGGAGGCTGCAATTTGCTGAAGGGTCTGAAGAAGGTCCTTACAAAGACAGAACTGAATTCTTTGGTTCTTGTTGTAGGATGCTGGTAAGTATATTATCTGAACTGGCAGTAGTAAACATTAGCTTAGATACAAAATTAAAAAGTACAATTTTAAACTTTCCACTTCTATGGCATGCAGGAGGAATTTGTTTTTACAGACACCCTTGACTTATTTTCATTCTTCTCACCCTTACCGTTGCTACTTTTTCTATTTGTTCCTTCATTTTTGTTACTCTTCCTTTCCCTTCAGAATTTGTCCTTGTGTATAAATAGAATATATGACAACTTTTGTATTGTGTCATTTATTTCAACCCTAATTTTCTATGATTCTATGATTTAAAAATGGTTGGCACAATTGAGAATTTTGGTGGGACTGTGCAGGACTGTGGGATTATCAGTTACCTTGGGATTGAAAGTAACATTATGTATTAATACCAGTTTCCTGTGGTTGATCACAAACAATGGAACTGAAGGAATACTAGATATTTCCTTAAAAGATATAATTTTCATGAAACTTTGCCAAGCAGTCAGTTCTGAGTCGAGATAAATTTTGAATTATGATAGATGTTTGATAGTTTGCACAGCTCAAATAATGAGTGCAATAAAAGCAGAATATTTGAAGTGTTCTGATGAGTGCTAGATGACCAATTCTTCTGTTTTTTTGTTCTGAATATGTAGTAAGGTGGCAACTTGGTATTGCTGAACAAGTGTCTTTGGTGGTCTGGATATAGATATAATTTTAATGGATCTAATAGCAATGAAGAATTAAATGACAGGTTCCCGTTTGGCTTATTACAGCATCACCAAGGGATTATGCAGACTTCAAATTTTCTTTTTAATGTAAAATAACTACTGGTACAACTCAGACTGAAAGCAAAAGCCATCAATTCCTCCTTTACTGCTAAGTAACAAAGGCTTCTGCTGGCCCTGAAGAGGCATCATAGGAACGGGAGAGTGAGCTAGATTTTATTTCTTCTCATATTTATTAGCTGGGGGTTTAAAAAGAGAAAAAAACTGCACAGACTTTTGAAAAGTTTTTACAAAATGGTAGTTACCCCAGATTGCCTGATGTTTAAATTATATTCCTATGATTGGATGTTTCTTCCTCAGCCCTGGAAGCTCCATCATCCCATTTCTTTAACTAAATAGGAGAAAAGGCCATATTAATGTGCTGTTCATTTTTTGTCAGTCCTGATCAGTCTTCAGAAATATTGTCAGACTACATTCAGCAATGTACACTGGGAAGAAAGCTGCTCATTCATGCAGTTACATACGAGTGTAGCAATCATGTTCCTCCAGTAAGTAATCACATTCTTTCTGGTTTGTATAAGTGCCTCATTTGTTTCAGAGACAGTACGTTACAATATTGTTAAATGTTTTTCAAATGTTTATTTGGGACTTAAATCTCCAATAGCAATTGCCTTCAAATAAGTAGGAAACAGGTTAATGATGACATTTTATTTTTAAGTGAAGTCGATGGTCAACCTTGTCATTTGATATCTCTTTCTTTAATCTGTATTAGTTGTTTGGGTTTTCCTTTGGTTCCTAAATATGACTGCCTGGAAAAAAGATGAGATTGTTATTATTTACAGCTTTTGCTACTTGAAGGCAAAGACTCTTTTATGCCTGTTACAGAGAACTGAACAAGGCAGCCTATGCATAGGGGTACTCAAATCAAATACTTCATCTTCATATTTATATATAGGCTATTTTAAAGAACATGACAGAAGTAGTGGGAGGCCGTTATCACTGCTACTCGTCTAACTGTGAGGTAGGTTTGATTTTCCTGATTTATTCACTTGGTTGCTCTTCATGGAATGGGTCTATCAATCTTTAGTAAAATGATGTAGTAACTAGGTCCTTGGTGAGGAAAATGCTTAAGCATGTGTTTCAAATTAAGCATGTGTTTAATGCTTTTTTGTAGAGAGAGTTAATTGCAGTATTATTTGATATGACTACATTAACTCTTGCTACATTAACTAATTTTGTCAAGGATCTATGTAGGTAGTGCACATAAAAAATGGTAATTGAGTTTTAGATGAGCTGGCAGCTTGTTTGATGTTTTACTAACCACTGACCTTCCCCTTTCTTGTTGCATGATAAGAATTATGATAGTAGTGATATCCGTCTGTTGCTACTTGAGTCCCAGAAAGCTAAGGCCCTGCTGAGCAGCATCAAACAGATTTTTCCAGGAAGGACTCGCGACTTGCTTGTTACTAGCATGCAGGATGTAAGTAGAGAATTTATTTTTGGGGGTATGTTTTGCTTGGGGCTTGCCCAGGCCAGTCTCTGAGCACCAGTCAGGGGCTTCCCAGGAAGGGCATAGAGATTTCTGGGGCCTGGGTACAGATGTAGGAAACAGAACAGCAAGGGCTGGCACTGCTCAGATCCACAAAGCAGCGGGCAGGACAGCTGCAGCTGTACTCATGTCCTGGGGCAGGGAGAGAGCTGGGGCTAGTGAGAGGCAGGCAGGGGCTGCAGATCAGGAATGAGGGGCACTGGCAGGGTTGTAGTTAGGAGTGAGGAACAGGGGTATGGGCAGGGCACCAGCATCTCAGTGCTGCTCAATACCACAAAACAGGTGGGGCGACAGCTGCAGCTGGACCTACATCCTGGTAAGCAAAGGGGAACAGGGGGAGCTCTGATTTCCTATGATAAAAAAACCAAAAGCAAATGCCAAAATATGTAAGTATTTAGAATTTATTTTATTATAATGACTGAAGCAGTGATAGGCTTCCAAACTGTGTTAAAATTGTAACTATATCTGTAACCCTAGCCATGGTGCTACACATGGTCACGTCCAGATTCAGGGTTCTGGGGGGTCAAATAGCCTCGGTCAGTCTCCCAGTCCCTAGGGCTGGGGCCACATATCCATGGAGTGCTTTTTTGTGGTTCCCCCACACAGTGGAGTACATACAGTCTAACTGTTTACACAGTGTATTATTTACAAAACAGTCAATGTAAGGATGAGGTTAACAGCAGAACCCAGGATATCAATAATTTAATTGTCGAAGGCAGGTATCAGTGAACTAAAACAATCTATACAAATTGAATCAAAGACACCCTCAGTACAACTCCCCAGCTTAAACCTTGAGACTCCAGTGAATTTCAGCAGGAGCACACAGGGTGAACACAAACATCAGCTCCCCTTCACACTGGCAACACAACCATGGCTGGTGCTGCTGCTTCAGAAAGTTCTGCTCTCTGCTAGAGCTTGCGTGGAGAAGAGAAGCTCTCCTCTGCTCCAGCTGTCTGTGGTATCTGCAAAAAAGCACACATTGCCCCTGCCCTCCCAAAAAAAAATACCTTTCTCCAGTTCCCAGACATGGCCCCTTGTGCTGATACCTGAAACAACCCTGGGTTTATCACCCCCTGGCCCCAGATTGTTTCTTAGTTAACTCTCCCCAGAGCCTTCCCAGATCAACACCCTGCCCTCCTAGGCAAGTCTACCTCAACACCCTTTTCTGTCCACACGGGTTCCTTTATCTCCCAGAGGTAAAAAGGATACCAGGTTATCTTCTTCCTGTCACTAAGGCCAGGTTCACTTCACAGCACCTCAAGGTGGTTCCTCCTCCAGCTCTGTGGTCCCAGGGATCCTTCCCTCGTCTGAGCCTGGGTGAGTCCCCAGGGCTGAGTTCCTGCCCCACTCCTGCTTCAGGAGCCAATCGAAAACATGCATATGCTCTTGCAAGGAACAACTTTCTGCAACCTTTCCTGCTCTGCCTTTGCAGGGATCCTGAGCCCTGTTGCAAATCCAGTAGCAGCTGTTACACATCAATAAAACATTGTGCTCAACTGACACCTACAGATACAGTGGCATTCCATTTTAATCATGGAAAAGTGTGGTTTTTGGGGCTTTTAATGAAACAAATTGGGATTTTATCAGAGAATTTGCAATTTTTAAACAGAGGAAACCAGGATCCCTGCTGATGAGTCAAGTGGAATGGACCTAGACAGAGGAGCCTGCCCAGGGCCAGCACTGGGGACCCAGCTGGAGGGCAGCCGAGGTGGCTGACCTCCTAGCCATTTGGGGCAGTTCAAAGCAGGCCACTGCAATGAGCACATCTTTTGAGCACTAGCTGCCCAGATGGTAGAACAGGGACACCGGAAGACATGGCAGCAATGCTGCATGAAGGCCAACTGTGCAGCCATGGCCTGCTGGCAGCGGGCCCAAAGCTGCAGGTGGCTCTGCTGCATTGTCATACCACAGCCCAGGTGGCCGTGTGGTCCCTGTCCAGGTCTGGCAGGCACAGAGCCATGGGGCCGCGGGTCCAAGGGGGCAGATGCTGTTGCAGGTGGCAGCAAGTCACAGGCAGGTGGTAGTTCCTGCTGCAGTGGGTAGAGGGTGCAGGGGAAGTGTAGCACAGGGGGCTAGTGTCCCCAGATACCAATTGGCTGAGCCTTAGAAGCTCCTGAGGGCAAGTAGCCCTGAGCTGCTTGCCAGAGCTGATTTTTATATTGCTTAATAACTCGAAAGTTCTGTTTTATAAATCTAGATCTGTTACAATTTTTTAAAACAAGAAAAACTGTTTTCTGTCACAGATATAAGGGGCAGTGGTGTGTGTGTGTGTGTGTGTGTGTGTGTGTGTGTGTGTGTGTGTATGTCTAAGAGAGAGAAAGAGTGGGCGCATAAGAGAGTGAGAACTCGAGTTCTTTCCTTTAGGTAATATGGAGGCGATTTATATAGATCATTTCCACCACTATCACTATAACTTATGTTAGAACCAGAAACTCATGTCTCTAGCCAAGGAAAAAGGAGTAGTTACTGCTCCTGCTTCTGTTTCTTTCTCAGGATATTTTGACGTCTCCTAGAACAGTGGTTCTCAACCTCTTTTGGACCAGGACCCGTTTGTAAACATCAGTGGCCAGTCTCCATCCAGTGCCCCTCACTCCCAACTCACTGCCCCCCCTACCCCAAGGCCCCAGACCCGCAGTGTGTTGGGCAGCAGGGGTGTAGGGTTGGGGGGTCCCAAGCAGCCCCTTGCAGGCTGGAACTCTGTCAGCCTGCAATTGAAAAGCCACAGTTTCCCACATTTTTCTCCTTTAAAGGAGAATCTTTTTTTAAAGTTTCTCAATGCATTTTTAAAGTTTGTTCACGACCCTTTTATATATTCTTGCAACCTGCTTTTGGGTCATGGTCCACAAGCTGAGAAACACTGTCCTAAAACAAGCTCTTCTGACAAAATTTTAACTCATTTGTACAGATATAAGCTTTTTTGCAGACATAATAAGCACTGAGCCAACTACTGTATATATTCCTACTAACTCTGTAATGGCCAAGGTTCCTACAAACGCTAAATGGAGCTTGTCATATTAATACAGATGTCAGTCCAGGGAGCAGCTGGCCAGATCTGTGCAAGGGGGAACTGCCCACATGCTGTTAAGCGCTTGTTTTTCCATCTGTAAAATGAGGATATTTACCTCCTTTTGAAAATGTTTATTTGTCTTGTGGGTGGCATCTAGCATAGATTCATAGATGTTAGGGTCGGAAGGGACCTCAACAGAACATTGAGTCCAACCCCCTGCATAGACAGGAAAGAGTGCTGGGTTCAGATGACACCAGCCAGATGCCCATCCAACCTCCTCTTGAAGACCCCTAGGGTAGGGGAGAGCACCACTTCCCTTGGGAGCCCATTCCAGGCCTTGGCCACTCTAACTGTGAAGAAGTTCCTCCTAATGTCCAGTCTAAATCTTCTCTCTGCTAGCTTATGGTCATTATTTCTTGTGACCCCCAGGAGCGTCTTGGTGAGTAGAGCCTCACCAATTCCCTTCTGCGCCCCCATGATGAATTTATAGGCAGCCACAAGGTCGCCTCTCAACCTTCTCTTGCAGAGGCTGAAGAGGTCCAGGTGCCCTGGTCTCTCCTTGTCGGGCTTGGCCTGCAAGCCCTTAACCATATGAGTGGCCCTTCTCTGGACCCTCTCCAGGTTATCCACATCCCTCTTGAAGTGTGGCGCCCAAAACTGGACGTGGTACTCCAACTGTGGTCTGACCAGCGCCCAATAGAGGGGAAGTATCACCTCCTTGGTCCTGTTTGTCATGCATCTGCTGATGCATGATAAAAGTGCAGTTAGCTTTTCTGATGACTTCGTCACGCTGATGACTCATGTTCATCTTGGAGTCCACTAGGACTCTGAGATCCCTTTCCACTTCCATGCTGCCTAGCAGGTCATTTCCTAGGCAGTAGGTATGCTGGTCATTTTTCCTCCCTAGGTGCAGCACTTTGCATTTCTCCTTGTTAAATCACATTCTGTTGTTTTCTGCCCATTGGTCCAACCTGTCCAGGTCTGCGTATAGTTATTCCCTGCCCTCTGGCGTGTCCACTTCTCCCCAGTTTTTTATCATCTGCAAACTTGGATAGCGTACACTTCACTCCCTCGTCCAAGTCACTGATGAAGACGTTGAAGA